CTTTTGGGAATTGATGTTTTATCTAAAAGAATATTTGGTGTACCTGTAAAATCAAAAACTGCAGAAAATATGGTTACAGCGTTCAATGATTTAATAAAACAAATGCCTATGAAACCACACCGTATATTTTCAGATAAGGGAAAAGAATTTAAAAATTCTCAAATGAACGACTTTTTCCAAAAAGAGGAAATTCACAAGATGGAACCAACTCACTCAGAAGTGAAAGCCTCACTAGCTGAAAGGGCGATTAGACATATTAAACAACGTATTTATCGATATTTTGCCCAAAATAAAACTTTAGACTGGATTCAAGTCCTCCCTAAAATTTTGGAAGGAATAAATAAGGCAAAAAGTAGAGTACATGGTATGAGGCCTGTAGATGTTAATTTTGACAATGCTCAAGATGTCTGGGAGAAGATATATGGTGATGTGTTTTCAACTAAAAAGACAAAACCAAAACTTAAGAAAGGAGATTATGTTCGAATGAGTCTAGGAAAAGGTGTATTCGAGAAGGGTTATATTCCAAACTGGGGTGATGAAATACTTCAAGTCGAGAATGTTAAAAAGCATGTTCACCCAATTCGATACAAAGTTCAAGATGATAAGGGCGAGAAGTTCAAAGGATCATTCTATGGAGAGGAATTAGCTCGAGTTCGTAAGGATGCTGATACTGAATATAGGATAGAGAAGGTTGTAAAAAAGAAGAAGAGACCAGATGGGACATACGATCTTTTAGTGAAGTTTATAGGTTATCCTGAAAGAGAATGGATCCATGAGACACAACTAGTATAAAAAGCATATTTAATTGTTTTTATTTCATTTTGATAAAAATGTCAAATACTTTCTTTGTTTTTCTTCCTAGTAATGTTTCCGATTATCCAGATAATAGACCAAATAAATTCCGAGTCCATTTACCAAGACCTCTATACTTTTCTGGAGACTGGGTTTGTGGTTTGCACAGCATAAGTTATCCATATTCATGGCCTTCAACAATTGGTACCCTTGACGAACAATGGATTGACATTCATTTTACTAAAAATGATGGGAGGGCTAGTATTATTCGTGTACCAGTTCCTAAAGGTTCACACACGACTGTGGAAGATTTACATCAATTTTTGTTATCTACTTTAGATCACCAAGCAGGAGCTATAGAAGGATCATCCTTGGAAAAACCTGAGACATTAGTAAAACCTCCAAGTGTCCGCAGACCTAAACGTAGTGTATCTCCTGAAGGGGAACTTAAAATGCCAACTCGTTCATCATCGGCCGAAGAAGAAGAACCACCTAATAAAAAACCTTCTGTTGAAAGAGAACTTAAAGCAGCTTCGCGTTCATCTTCTGAAGAAACAGAACTTAGACGCCCAGCCCTTTCATCCTCTGCAGAAAGGGAACTAGATTCTTCACAGCGTAGTACATCTCCTAAACTTACTAAAATAGCTCCCCAAAAACCTACACCACAACCCACTCCACAAACTATACCTCAGCCAACTCCTCAAACTCCAAAACCCACTCCACAACCTCCAAAACCTACACCACAACCCACTCCACAACTTCCAAAACCCACTCCTCAACCTCCTAAGCCTACACCACAACCAACCGTACCTACACCACAACCTCCAAAACAAGCATCACAACCCACACCAAAACTCCCAAAGCCAACACCACAGCCCACTCCACAACCCACTCAACAACCTATACCTCACCCAACTCCCCAGCCTCCAAAACCTGCACCACTACCTCCGAAACCTACACCAGAACCCCCAAAACCAACTCCACAACCTCCACCACAACCCTCACCACAACCAACTCCACAACCCACTCCACAACCTATACCTACACCGCAACCTCCACAACCCCCAAAACCAACTTCACAACCTCCGCCACAAACATCACCACATCCTCCAAAGCCCGCTCCACAACCTACTCCACAACCTCCGCCACAACCATCAAAACCTTCACCCCAACCTCCAAAACCCACTCCACCTCAACCCACACCACAACTCCCAAAACCTACTCCAAAACCTACACCTCAACCACCACCACATCCTCCAAAACCCGTTCCACAACCCACTCCTCAACCTCCTAAACCAACACCACAACCCTCACCTCAACCTCCACAACCTCAACCCAAACCTACACCACAACCTCCAAAACCTACAACTCAACCTCCAAAACCCACCCCACCTCAACCCACACCACAACCTCCAAAACCCTCACCACAACCTCCAAAACCTGCACCACCTCAACCCACACCACAACCTCCAAAACCCTCACCACAACCTCCAAAACCTGCACCACCTCAACCTCAACCCAAACCTACATCACAACCTCCGAAACCTACACCACAACCCCCAAAACCTACACCTCAAACCCCAAAACCAACTCCTCAATCTACTACTCAACCTCCAAAGCAACTCACTCAACTAAAATCAACACAACCTTCCTTACCAATTTCTCTACCTTTGACACAAGATAGCGATGAAGAAGAATTGAGAGATGCATCTCCCTCATCCTCAGCTGAAAGGCAATCCTTACCCAGTTCACCTACACTTCCACAACTCCCAAAGCCTGAAGCTACATTTAGTGATCCTTTATGGACTGAAGAATATGAACGAGTACTTACACATGTACTTTCGACGCTTGGACAGAAAGTAACACCTCAGACAAGAATAAATTATCTTCCAAATATGCCTATCCTTGTAAAAAAATATGGTAAAGTAGGCAAGGTAGACTCGACAACACAAAAACAAATTATAGATTCAATAGAATTATTTTATCATAGCAACTTTGAACGATTTAAAGTCTCGTTCACACACCCAAGCATCAAATATGTTTCTTTTTCAAATCAATTAGGTTATGTATTAGGCTTTCAAAATCCAAATATGGTTCAAAATAATGAAATTGCCAAATATGGTTGTGATCTAAGAGGAGGTTTCTCAAGCTTCGCTGTATATTCAAGAGGTCTTACAGAAAGTATGATCATAGGCAATTCACTTAGTTCACTCCTAAGGGTCGTTTCTGTGGCTGGAGCCACCCCAGGACAATATTATGAGAAAATATATGATTCACCAATTTATGCACGAGTATTACCCAAAGAAGTAAATGAGATTGAGATTGAACTCAGAACGATGGATAACGGTCGACCTGTACCATTTGAATTTGGTACAGTGCTGATCGTCCTGATATTTAAGAAGGTGATAAACTTCTGATTTTTTCATTCATAATTAAAAATGGTGCACATTTTATTTGATACTAGTACTGTAAGCTATGATGACTTTATTCCAATGAAGGGAGGTGGAATTACAGATGACTATTTTAAGGGTACAGCTCCTTTTCAAAGAGGATATGGGCAGAAAGGAGCTGGAATTGGAGATGTTATGAGAGGACTTTGGAGATTTTTTCTACCGATTATGCGACGTGTAGGCACGACTGTCTCAGAGGAGGCATTAAATACAGGTCAACGTGCATTGGGAAGGGTAATCCAAGGAGAACCCATAAAGGAAGCTTTAGTCAGTGAAGGAAAGAAGGGAATTGATACAGTGCTTGAAAAAGGAGGTTTACCTAAACAATTTGGATCAGGAAGGGGTATAAAAAGAAAGACAATTCCTAGTCATCAAACAGTTATTAAAAGAAAAAGATTAAAATCTGACGCTTTTGGTTTTTATTAAAAATGAGTTTCCATAAAATTGATAAAGATAGTATAAATTCTATTACAAATGCTCTTGATTTTTTTCAAGTCCCACCAACAAATGTGAGCATTTCTTCGTCAAAGGTTTTTGAAATTTTACCAAGTAATCCTCTCACTGATACACCATATCATTTTAAAATTCATAGTAGCCAAAATTATATCGATCTATCTAAGATTTATTTATTTACTGAATTTCGTATAAAGAAGGAGGGCGATGATGGAAGATTGGTCAAACTCGCTGCAACTGATAACGTTGCGCCTATACAACTAATAGGTCAAACATTTATAAATAATATGCGAATTAATGTAAACGGTAGGGAAATATTTAATTCAAACTCGCTCTATGCCTACAAGACTTATTTTTCACACGAACTTTCTTATTCTCAAGGAGCAAAAAGTTCCCATTTGAACGCTGCAGGATATTACTATGATTCGGACATAAAACTTGAGGACGGCACAGCGTACAATGCAAGAAAAATTTTATTTTCGTCTAGTAAGACGGCACAATTCATTTCAAAACTCGATGCGGATATATTCAACCAACCTCTCTATTTAATAAATCATTGTGAAATTGATATTGAATTACTTCCTAATGACACGAAATTTGTATTGATTGCTCCTCCAGTACTTGGGATTGACCAACCAATTACCTATAATTTTGAGGTTGTAAGCTGTAAGCTATACGTAAAAAAGATTGATCTTATGGATGGACTCTCTCTAGATATTTCCAGAAAACTTGAAACTAAACCTGCAAGATATTCAATAAGAAAAACTATGATGAAACCGCTTTTCATAAGTCAGGGTAGATATGAATTTAATGCAAACTTATTCATGGATCAAATTCCTAGAAGAATTACATTAGGTCTAGTTGCAAACTCTGATTATGTTGGATCGATAAATCGAAGCCCTTTCAACTTTCAACATTTTAATGTTAGAGAAATTAGTATTATAGCAAATGGAAGACCATACCCTCAGGCATCTTATGACTTTGATTATAAGAATGGAAGATATGTAAGAGCCTTTCACGACATGAATGAGGCTACAGGCCTGACAAATACTTCTGAAAATAATGGAATCACTTACCAACAGTTTGGAAAAACTCACTGTATTTATGTTTTTAATTTGACTAATAGTGGGGATGATAACAGTGGGACATTTGATTTAATAAAAAATGGGACTACAGCCATAAACATCAAATTCAGTCAGCCTGTCCCCGAGGGCGGGGTCATGCTCGTTGTTATGGGCGAAGCGGATTCCCTTATAATGCTAGATAAAAATCGGACAATAGCAAGTGACACCACCATTTGAATAAATGAAAGGAATTTTAGTAACTTTATTTTTGATTCGGATATTTGCTCCGTGTGTAGGACTATATAAAGAAGCGATGGATGAATTAGAGGAGATCCCTGAGTATTCAGCCTATCTACGTCAATTAGGATTTCCACAGAAAAATACAACCCAGCCAAGAATATCCGCTTCCATACCAGCCTTTGCAACCTTCCCGTTTGAGAATCTACCTACTCTCTGTAAAGAAAGCCCTACGGATTTGTATGGCCACGTGTTTTGCTGGGGAATGATAGGACTATATATTATGTTAATAGGAAGCTTAATTATTTATCAACTTCGTTCAATTTTTTGGTTAAAAACTTATAAGAATAATGGACAGCAATCAGATAACAAAAATATTGAGCTCAAATCCTTACACAAACAGAATCTTCCAGGGATGCTTTCCGTGTAACAATCTACCCAAGCCTGAAGAAGGCAAAGCTTTAATTGTAAACTTGGACCCCAAAGGATTTGCAGGTTCACACTGGATTACAATTTACGTTCAAGGAAATGAACAAGTAGTCTATTTTGATAGCTTAAATTTACCCACAAGCATTTGTATTATTGATTCATTTTTAAAAGATTTTTCAATTGTTAATAGAAACCTAAAACCATACCAATCCTTAAATTCTAATTATTGTGCCCACCATTGTATTTCTCTTATTTATTTCATTTCTAAAGGTTATACATTTCCCCAATATCTTAAAATGTTAAACAATATTCATAATCCAGATTTATTTGTAAAATATATTGTGAATAAAATTATAAATTATCGAGATAGTTTTTGGTAATATCAGCACATTCTGGACAAAGATAAAAAGCGTATGAAAAAGATTTTTCATCCTTGGGCATCATTATATTATCTTGAAATTGGCTCACAACAAAGCTAAGGCATTCATCACACCATTTCCCTGCGCGAAAGTAATTAATAAGGATGCAAAGCCTTGCTCCCATATCAAGTTGAATGTGTTGTTTTAGAGCATCATTGATTGAATGCACATAGGTTCTTATTTTAAATTCACGATACTCGCGCACCCCCTTAACATACTTTATTATTTCGTCACTTTCTTCACTCATGAATGATTTTTATTTTTATGTGGAATTTATCAAATTAGGTCGCAACTAAATAAAAATAAAATTAAGCCACGCCCTACTTAGATGAATATATAAACTCCGGAATTTTTGTTTTTCATTTCAAACATTCACAATGGTTCTTGTCATAGATGAAATTGCACGTTTTCTCGACTGTTCAGTCCGAAGTCTAAGTTGTCATTTAAATGTTCCTGAGACAAGAATCCGTATATTAACAAAATTTTTGGATCGTAAGGTCCGCACGACATATTTGAATAGAGATTTAGAAAAGAAGACGTTTCTATTTGGAGGTCTCACAAGAAAGGGTGCCAATAAAATTCGCGCTTATGGACCTTTAAGGCGACCCTATAATGTTAGCATCGCTCAACATTTTTATACAAGACATCGAATTCAACTTAAAAATCCTTACCTAAATTGTATTATTGAACGACGATTCTGGGATAAAGATCGATTTTATCCTATTGAACTATTGGAATTTGTTGATGACGAAGAAGAGCAAAGTAAAAGTTTATCAACTGAATTTGAGGAAAAGCTTAGTATCTCTTCACCGTCCGATAGTCCTGAAATAATTATGGATAAAGAATTTGAGGAAGAGATGGAGATGTACAGAGGAGATTTTAGTCAAGATGGTTGGTGAACATACTCTCAACACACACACGCGCCCTCTACACACGCACGTCCGTCACACACAAAAATTGATGGAAATTGATAAATTTCATCTTCTTTTCCTTAATTATGTAATTTTACCCCTAAAATGAACAACTCCTTTTCCTTAATTCTGAAATCTTCTACTTTGTTTCACTAATTATGTAAAATCTCCCCTAAAAGCTATGTCTTCATTTTCATAATTTTTTAATATTTTCAAATTTTTATCTTTGTTTTACTGATTATGTATTTTTACCCCTAAAACTTGTAACTCCTAATTATAAATTTTTTCAAAATTGTATTTTAAAATTTTATTAAAAATAAAAATTATTTACAAAAATTGTGAATAAAATATTTCAAAATTTTTACAAAAAATAGATAAGAATAAAGAAATAGATAAGATAGGAGTGTGGCTTCGCCATTCGACAGGCATCACCAAACTCAACCAGGGACCTGAGAATTTACTCAAGTCCACTACCACCGATTTTACATGTGAGGATTCCTCACAACATTACGATAGTTGGTATAGAGTTTGGGTGCCCATACCCCTGGCTACTTTCCAACTCCTGTAGAATTCACAGCAAAATTCGAGGATGTTTGTCATTAATATGACCAAAATTAAGAACAACAAAATCGGAAGGGCGGACAATGCCTTTTCCTACATAAGGCTTATAAATTTTAGTGAGGGGTTGAGTAGTTATGGAACCATCTTTAATCGATGGTCTAAGAAAATTTGGGTACTTAATTAAAAGGGGGATATTATCACAATTAATAAAGTCAAAAACTTGCTTCTTGAAGTTTTCATAGCACAATCCTTGGTTGTTGATCACATCCCAGTTGAGTGTCATCCCACGGACTTTGAGAACGTAGTCAGGTTCAGTGTTTGGAGTAGTCTTCTTTTGAAGTTTCAAGCCATATTGCTTGGCCCCTCCAGAGCAGTATTCCAAGATTTCAAAGTCTGGGTACTCATCTGTAAATTGACCCAGATGAGGACCAAGTTGAAGTGGACAGTTGTTGTCGGGGTGCGAGAAGATTAGAGAATCGGTGTCGGTGTACAGTAGTTGACAACCAGTTGTCCTCACAACCTTCTGCATGGCATGCAGAAGGTGAATCCTCGCTGCTGATGTAGTCCAAAGCGAGATGATGACATTTGATGAGTCATGCTCCTCCACCCAATCCTTCTTTTTGATGTAGTTAATAAGAATTACTTCTTCGGTAAGTTCATCAATTGAATTAATGGTGATGGAAGGGTCGTCGCACATCTTTGCCAATTCATTAGGGTCGTCGGTAATTTTGCATTGAGAGAGGCCAAAGTTTCTTAGGGAGAATCTTCCCCATAAGTTGTTTAGACACAATTTTGCTTGTGTCCGCTTCCCTTTGTTGGCCACCATCTTCTCCCTCTCAATCTTAATTCCAAACATTTCCATGCATTCTTCCATAAACTTATCTTCTTTCAATTTGTCCCCTTTGATGGAGTTATCGAATCCTGAAGAGTGAATTTTTTGAGACATAAATTCACTAATGTATGGGCTGAAGAGTTTGTCGTCGTAGGTTTTGAATTCTAGAACCCTAAATAATTTGGTGACAATATAACCCTCTTTGAGGGCTTCATTTAATTCAATGGAGGTGCATGTAGATACCCACCCTCTCTGTTGGTCTGAATGGGGGCAGCAGTAGTTTTCATTGACATCCCCATGTGGATGTTCTTTGGCACAGGTAGAGCATAGTGGGAAGAGTAGTCGTTCATCTTCACCTTCCCCAATTTTCATAGGTAGGACAGGAATGTCAATAGTCCGAGGAGGGATGATGAATAGTTTTAGAAGTGAAAGGGTGTAAATGTTGTCTTCTGGTTTGGTCCAGTTGACATCTTTGTTGACCACGTGCACTTCAGGATGTCCAACAGGGTACCTCGTTGAAACGTTGATAAATGGGTACAAAGAAGTGACGTCATAGTAGGAAATTTTTTCTCCTTGCTGTGCAGAATGAAAAAGTTTTAGAGGGCCTGTTCTCCCACCATAAAATGCTGATCTGATGTTGATCGGGCCATCATCCAAGTAATTTTTAAACATTCTTCTCATCTCAAAATCTTTGGAGATCATATTTCTAATTTCGCATTCCCAGTAGACTTCCACATTGACTCCCAAATTCTTGATAAAGTTGAGACGTTGTTCATCCTTTTGCCTTTGTTGACCTGCAGTGAGCCCGGTAGGAAGTTTTACATCTTTGTCAGGGTAGCATTTGATACAGCCATGCCAGCAGCAGCCATTGACTTCAATAGCCAATTTCTTTTCTTTAATCCACCCATCCAATTTATAATTGCCAATCTTCTTTTCACCATTTTTTGAATGTGCTGTTCTCACTTCAACATTATTTTTCTCAGCATACCACTTGAGAAATCGAAGAGCCAACAAGCTTTGGTTGTCCACGTTGTCGTATCCTTTTTCTGGTACAATTCCAACATGTTGAGCTTTGAGATGGTTCAGTCGAAAGTGTTTCATGCAAGCAGAAGCAATAGTCATGGATTCTCGAAGTACATCAAGTCCGTTTGAAACCTCCAAAAATTCTTTTCTGAAGGAGATGAGTGCAGCCATTAGGATCTCTACATCATTTGTGCAGTAGGATGCAAGTTGTTCATTTAAGAGAAAGGGTTCCTCTTTGTGTTGATTGAACCATTTATCGAATTGGACTCTTTTCTCAGGCATCATTCCATTGCAAAGGTAGTCTTCTTTTGCTGGGTATATTTCCTTTCCATAATTTTTAGGGTTGTTGGCTAGGTGAGGGAAGAAGGGTTTGTCTTCCACCTGTAGTCCAAATGCAGGTACAAGGGAAGCCAAGGGCATCGGCATAAGATTATACGTGTCCCGGAAGATTATCCAAGATTTATTTGTATTTTTCACCTTCATTTCATACATCTTGTTTCCTTTCTTAATCATATCTGGAGTTAAGCCAAGAAGATATAGTTCCTTGAAGAGTAGTACCATATCAAACCTTCCTCCAAAATGTGAGAAGGCTACTGTATCAATTGAAGTATTGATTACCCAAGCTGCAAAATCAGTCAGAGGTTCATTAGTGATGTTCTGTTGATCGACATGAGTATTAGAAAAGTGTTGATGAGAGAAGGTTATAGTTCGATCCTCTCCACAATTTTTACAGTTGTTTTTCAGACCGTTAGCAATACAATCAGGGCAATTGATCTTAGCAGAAATAAAATTAACTTCATGTAGATTACCCTTTTCTCCTTGGATGTGTTGCGTAGTTTCGAAGTCAAAAGCGATGATCCGGTACGGTTTTGGCTTTTTGAGAGTAAGAGGTTTGATGAAGCATCCTCTTTTGGGGTCGTGGAAGCTAAAACATGTGTTGCAGTAACGTTCCGAGCATACATGGCCACCTCGTCCATTTCGGTTGTTTACAGCAACATTCCATACCACTCCACACTTTTTACATTTTTTGGAGTTGTTGCAGAAATTAGAATTGATGTGATGGTCATAGCAGTTATTGTTGTAAAATTCTTTATCACAATTAGGACAATGTTTGAAAAAGTTGTTCATCTGCTGACAAGGGTAGTCGGGGCCTATCCTGGAGCAATTTTGACATTTAGCTTTACATGAAGTCGCATGATCCTTCGGTTTGTTATAGAGGGTTTCACAGGCAAGGCAATAGGGCTTACCAAACAAA